TCCCCCCCCCCCCCCCCAGTCTTGGCCCATTCTTACAGTCATAGAATCATAGAAAATTAGGGTTGAAAAAGACCTCAGGAGGTGTAGTTCACTCCCCTGCTCAAAGCAGAACTTTCCCCAACTAGATCAATCCAACCAGGGCTTTGTGAAGCTGGGCCTTAAAAACCTCCAGAGATGGAGATTACACTACCTGTCTAGGTAACATGTTCCAGTGCTTTACTATACTCCTAGTGAGAGAATTTTTCCTAATATCCAACCTAAACCTCCCTTGATGCAACTTGAAGCTATTGCTCCTTGTTCTGTCATCACAGAGAGCAGTCCAGCTCCATCCTCTTTGGAACCCCCTTCAGATAGTTGAAGGCTGCTATCAAATCCCCTCTCAGTCTTTTCTTCTCCAAACTAAATAAGCCCAGTTTCCCTCGGCCTCTCCTCGGAAGTCATGTGCCCCAACCCCTGAACCATTTTCGTTGCTCTCTGCTGGACTCTCTCCAACATGTCCACATACTTTCTATAGTGGGGGGCTCAAAACTGGACACAATACTCCAGATGTGGCCTCACCAGTACTGAATAGAGGGGAATAATTACTTCCCTTGATCTGCTGGCAATGCTCCTGTCAATACAGCCCAGTATGTCTTTAGTCTTCTTGGCAACAAGAGCACACTGCTGACTCGTATCCAACTTACTGTCCATTGTAACCCCCAAGTCCTTTTCTGCAGAGCTGCTGTTTAGCCAGTTACTCCCCAACCTGTATCGGTTCATGGGATACTTCCATCCTAAGTGCGGGGCTTTGCACTTGTCCTTGTTGAACCTCATGAGATTTCTTTTGGCCCAATCCTCCAATTTGTTGAGGTTACTCTGAATTCTAGTTCTACTACAGTGTATCTACCCTACTACACCCCCCAGATTGGTGCCACCTGCAAACTTGCTGAGGGTGCAATCCATCCCATCTTCCACATAGGAGCCCTATATTTGCCCTTTTCCAATAGTCTGGGACTTCCCACAGTCAACATGAGTTTTCAAAGATAATGGCCAGCAGCTCTGCAGTCACATCAGCCAACTCCCTCAGCGCCCTTGGATGCATTGCATCTGGCCCCATGGACTTGGACACATTCAGCCTTTCTAAATAGTTCTCAACCTGTTCTTTCACCACTGAGGGCTGTTTGCCTCCTCCCCAAACTGCTGCCAGGTGCAGTAGTCTGGGAGCTGACCTTGCCTGTGAAGACTGAGGTAAAAAAGACATCAAGTATTTCAGCCTTTTCCTCCTCATCTGTCCCTAGGTTGCCTCCCCCCATTCAGTAAGGGACCCACACTTTCCCTGATCTTCCTCTTGTTGCTAACATACTTGTAGAAACCCTTCTTGTTATGCTTCATGTCCCTTGCTAGCTGCAACTCCAATTGCACTTTGGCCTTCCTGACTTCGTCCGTGCATGCCTGAGCAATGCTCTTGTACTCCTTCCTCCCAAGTTGTTTGTCCAAGCTTCTACTTCTTGTAAGCTTAAATCTATTGCATTTAAATTCACCAAAGAGTTCTCTGCTAAGCCAACCTGGTTGCTTACCACATTTGCTGTTCTTCCCGCACATCGGGCTGGTTTGTTCCTGTGCCCTCAGTAAGGTTTCTTTAAAATACAACCAGCTCTCCTGGACTCCTTTCCTCCCCAGACTGCCCTTCCAGGCAATCCTGCCTACCAGTTCCCTGAGGGAGTGAAAGTCTGCTTTTCTGAAGTCCAGGGTCCTTACTCTGCTGCTCTCCATCCTTCCTTTTGTCAGGATCCTGAACTCAGTCATCTCGTGGTCACTGTTGCCCAAGTTGCCATCCACTGCTACATCCCCTGCAACAATTCTTCCCTGTTGGTGAGCAGCAGGGCAAGAAGAGCATGGCCCCTATTCGGTCTCTCCAATATTTGCATCAGGAAGTAGTTTCCAGAGCTCTCCAAAAACTTCCTGGATTGCTTGTGCACGGCTGTATTGCCCTCCCAGCACACGTCAGGATGGTTGAAGTCCCCCATGAGAACCAGGGCCTGTGCTCGGGAAACTTCCACTAGTTGGCTAAAGAAAGCCTCATCTACCTCATCCTCCTGGTTTGGTGGTCTACAGCAGTGGTTTCCAAACTTTTTTGATCGTGCACCCCTATCAGTAAAAAAAAAATTTTTGAGCATGCATGTCAATATATGTATATTTATTTATTAATAAATTATATAACGGTACAAAAAACCTTTTTGGCTCTCACTAAAAAAAATTATTATTTTCTTCCCACACCCCAATGGATCGTCTTGCACACCCCCTGGGGTGCACGCACCCCACTTTGGAGACCACTGGTCTATAGCACATACCCACCCCAACTTCACCCTTGTTGCTCTCCCCTCTAACCTTAACCCAGAGACTTTCAACAGGCCTGTCTCCAGTTTCATACTGGAGCTCTGAGCAATCATACAGCTCTTTTACATGCTGCACAATTTCTTCTCTTCTGCCTGTCCTTCTTGAACAGTTTGTACCCATCCATGACAGTGCTCCAGTCATGCGAGCTCTGTTATTTCAATCATATCATAGTTCTGTGACTGGAAGGACTTCCAATTCTTTCTGGTTGTTTCCCAGGCTCTGTGCCTTTGTGCAGACACCTGAAGTGACTAGCTGATTGCCCTACTTTCTCAGGAGGAATGAGGCCTGTCCTGTTGCCCCTTCCTGCTTCTTATTCTTCCAGGTCCCCCGCTATCCCGCTTACCTCATGGCTAACCTCAGTTAACTCTGCATTCACTGTGCTGATGAGTGCAGTATTAAAAGGGGTGGTAAAACTCAAGGAAATAAATTAGTAGGAATTAAAGAAAAAATTAAATCCACAGAAAGTCCATACTTTTGCTTTACATTATAACGTATTGTACCTCTTTATGTTCTTGAAATGTTAACTGATATGTGTTTGAAAACAGAGCAGCTGGCTTTAACATCGTCATCCAGAATTTAGAAGTGTTTTTTGTTGGCTGTGGGTTGGGAATAGTTTAGCAGAGTGGTGGTCTGCCCTGAAGGAATGTAATACTATTGTGAAACTTGTCACTTGGGTTGTCAGACTTTATTAGCTTTGGTCATCATGACGTCTGAGGATTTCAAATATTTACCGAAAAGATATTTGTAGGTTTTTCTGATTATAGTCTTGGTGCTTGTGTATTGTAACTGTATGGATAATCCATTTTTTCCTTTCCTTTCCTTTTTAGATGATCTTTCCTTGGAGCGGCAAAACCTTTCCATGTTCTCAGTGGGTCCTAAGCAACAGCAAAGCACAGTGGGCAGCGTGACACACATGGCCTTAAACACTTCAGAACCCCAAGACAATTTCCTCCACATGGTTTTGCCATCAATCACTTCTCCCCTGGTCATGACATTATCTGATCAAGAAAGAACAGTCAAAGGTTCAGAAGGGAGAAGCATACCAACGGTAGATGTCTCAGTAACTAGCAGTGAGGCATTCTTAAGTGACAATGAATTTGTTGGCTCGCTTTCAAATGCACAGCGGACTTCTTCTCTACAGTCTATTGCAACAGTGCATGACTCGGATAATGTGGTAGAGCCACCAAGAGAAACGTTAGGATCTGTACTGCTAACACCTTCGTTATCAGTTTTTCCTTTACTGTATGATGTATTGAAAACAACACCACAAAAGACAAGCTTAAGTGTTGTTTCTGGACATAGTAACTCTCCCACACAGTTGAACTCTTTTACCCCAGATCATGAAATTCTGACTCCAAACAGAGACTTACTTTTATACCCCACAAAGACAGATATTTATTTAAGTTCTTTTGCATCAGAGGTTTTGGTGGCTCTGGAGAAAAATGTAGATGAAAGCTTGGCATCTATTTCACTGGCCTCGGTTTCTTTGCCTTTTGATGCTGCATCTGAAGGGTCATCTGTTCTTATGCAGCAATTGGATAAAGATACCCAAGTTACCCCACATGCTTTGGCAAAAAGTACTGGGCAGTACATTAAAACTTATTCTGGTGTGAATAGCAGTGCAACAGAAACTTTGGATCTAAGGACTTACCCTGTTGCAAGCATTTCTAGTTCAAAACCGGTTTTGGCAACCAGCACGGAACCTGCTTTGTTTTTGACTAGTCTTCCATTTGTGTCTTTCCCAGTTCATTCAGATGCTGTTTCCTCTGATTCTGATAGTTTTCTTATTGATGACTTGTTTACAAGTGCGTTTTCCCATGAATCCTCCAGTACAACACCAAATATGCCTGGCAGTTCAGAAATACCCAGTCAAGTTGAGCCCTTCAGCGAGCTCATAAGCCCAGTGCCTTTCAGTAGACCATATGCTTTGTGTTTGTACTGTGACTTGGCCTCAGTTCCATCAGAACAGGGCTTTTCAGCAGAAAATACAGAACATGATGTGGGTTCAGGTGATTATATTGAAACGTTATCATTCACAGCCTCAGAGGTTAAAGTCATTACTCCGTTTACCACAGTAAAAGCTGACCAGTATGAACAAGAGGAATCTGCTCCCGAAGTCTTTGATACTAGTTTCCCATCAAGGCCTGTTGTTTCATTTTCCTCCAGATTTATAGAACTCTCTGAACCAAACTGGGTTTTTTCAAGCACTCTCAATGTTGACCTTAATGTAATGCCTACAACAATATTTCCTTCATACAGTCAGCTCTCAGAAGAAATTTCATTGGATATCACTTCTATACAGTTCTCCTCTGTTACTGAAACTGTTACGTTAACATCCAATATGACAGTAGAACCTTTTAGTAGCACCAGTGTTCTTCTTGAACCAGCTTTTACCGCAAATGAGAGCATCCCATTAATTACAATCAAACCTACAAATTTGCTGGTATCACCTGAATTTATGCCATCAGAATCTGTATTTTTGCTTGACAAAGCATCTGCAAGTTTGTCAATAGGTGAATCATCTGTAAATATGTCAGATTTTTCAACCATACTTCCGTCAACACCTTTTCTCTTTGAACTTAACAGCTCATTATTTTTTTCATCAGCTGCATCAAACTTTTACTCAATAACGCCAAGTGATTTATCAACACTTTTACCTCAAATTTTGCCTACACTGCTTGGAACATCTCTACATGTTAGTGATCTCTCTAGTTGGGATTCAAGTAAGCTGCCTGCTACCAACAGCAGAAGTGCAGAGTTTTCTCAGCTGTCTCCTTGGCATACCTCATATTTTAATTCAAATACATCTTCTGTTCCAGTCGTGCACATTCCTGAAATAACACCATCATTTAGTTTTCATCCCGACTTTTCCATGTCACTGGAAGCAACGTCAATCTTGCAAATGGATTCTGAAGTGTTGTTTACCTCAACTTTCACAGAAGCTACCTCTCGGTTAGAGTCTTCGCTCTTCTCCCTTGAATCAGTGGTTCCTACTCTGGTGCTCTCCATGTCTGACTCTGAGTCTATTGTCACCAGCAACATCTTGATTGATGAAACACACTTGACCTCATGGTTTACTACCATTTGGATAACTCCTGTCATAAATGTATCTTATGTATCTTCCTCATTTTTTTCAACTACTACAGCTTCAGATGAGGATATTGGTGCTACTGTTAACCATACATTGCTTTTAACCTCTTATTCTAAGGCCATTGCTAATACAGCGTATTTTACAACTAATCCATATATGCTGACGTCATATGCAGATGTTAGCAGCATTACTGTTGCACCTACTGAGTCAATTTCTGTGGTCACATCATTTGTCCCTACACAGTTGCCTCCATCTGTGAACACTACCATTGAATTTGTCACTCCAGCAAGAACTACTTTACCTGGGGTTACCAATATAACAAGCTTGACTACTCCTGCAGCAACCACCATCACTAGCACAGTTGACCATAGTACAACTACTGAAAGCAGCTCAAGTGTTTCATCCTCTGCTGCCGCTGCCGCCGCCTCCTCCTCCTCTTCCTCCTCCTCCTCTACTGCAATGGCCACTACTCCATCTGAAACTATAAGTTTAACATCTGCCATGACTGCCACCAGGCAACCATATGTGTGTGACATCACTGTTCCTGACACTTACTTAGTCACAGCTGGTAAGATATTTCTAAAGTCTTATTTTAATGTTTTTCTTTTTTTTTTTTAAACTCTACCTTTTACCCTAAAGCAATGGTCTCCAGAGTGGGGTCCGCAAGACGATCCATTGGGGTGCGGGAAGAAAATATTAGAACTTCTATTTATATGTATATTTATATAAATATACATATATTGGGGGTGCATGCTCAAAAATTTTTTACTGATAAGGATGCGCGATCAAAAAAGTTTGGAGACCACTGCCGTAAAGGAATCGCTACAATGAGCTACCCCTTCTAATCCAAATCTATTTAATTTTAAATTACATGTGTTTGTATTAGATAAGTAAAGAAAAGAAATATAGCAAGAAATCTAAGTCACTTAAATAAATCTTTTAGTTCTGTTTCCAGGTAATTATGTCACATCAAGAGCCAAATTTCAAAAAAACTTAGCCTGTATGACCATAGATGCTGTCTGTGTTTGCATACAGTCACTTGTTCTTGCAAATTATGACTTTGTACAAAACTTGTGTTGCAAGCACCAGATAAGCACAGATGGTGCTTTAAAACTGCATGTAGGGATGTTGAATTGATGATACTTTATACTTCGGATTGGCAACATAGATTATTGTCATGGCACTGTTTCTGTTTGTTCAGGTCACATGATCCTACAAAAATTTCCTGTAAAGTTGTTAGATTTGTTTGCAAAGAACCAAGATTTTTTTTTAAAAGTAGGAGAACATATAAAGCGTGTGTGTGTGTGTGTGTGTGTGTGTGTGTGTGTGTACGCACACACACACACGCTTTGAATTATTTTTATTGGACTTGGTGTGGTTATGATTCAAAAAAATGGAAATCTGTCTTTCTAGTTTATTGACAAATTAGCAAGGTACAGCTAACTGCAGTTGTTGGAAGAGTGAGATGTATTCTATAACCTTCAGCAAAACATACAGTTAAGTTTTATGACCAGAACGTGTTCATGTGGTACCTAAAGTAGGAAGTTCATGGTTTTATTTTTTCCAGACCCAAGAGCAGCTGGGTATGTTAGCAGTAGGATTTTTTTTACTTGTTAACAGAATAAATTTGCTATGCACACTATTGATGAAAAATAAGAAACGCCAAGATGCCACTTCAGTTTCTTTCTTTAATCAGTCACAGTTTAAAGTGTGATTTTTTTTTTTTTTAATTTATTTATTTAAGTTAGCAAAGCACTCTTGTAGTTTTTGTCTTGAAAGTGTTTTCATATTCAACATCCCTGCCTCTCTGGGTAATCAGTTTCTTATTTTTTATTTATTTATTTTTTGATAAATTGGTTTGGAAGCTTTATTATGCCTTTTATCAGCAAATAACCACCACAGCTATTGAACTGTGGTCTGCTTTCCATTCTGGCTCGTGTGTTATCTACAGGATTATTAGCTACCTTACAGTAGCAGGATCTTTATTACAAAGCACAAGTAAAAAAGAATATGGTTTGACTTTCAGATCTGGTTTAAATGTCACGGCTATATATTAAAAAGACTGTTATTTTTACTAGCAAACAGAACAAATTTGATATTGAAAAAAAATGAGAGGAAATGAACAAGAAACTCATGAAACTATTTACAGTAACTTTTCTAAGTATGCTCCATTTTACTGATCTCTTAACCTGCTTTTTCATGCATTACACAATTTGAAAATGCAGCATTGAACCAAGGCATCTAATACAAAGCTAAAATGTATTTACTGACTGATGTTAATTTCTAGTGCTGGCCCGAAGAGCTAATCTGGAAAATGTCAGTGAATCCATCAGAGAAGTGCTGAGAGTTCAATTCAGGCGATCTGTAGAGCTGGAGGTAAGTGGTATGGTGTGCCTATGCACTTTGAGTGATATGATAGCATTAGAGCATTTTTTTGTGGTTTTCTTTTTTTGTGAAGTAAGATTATTAAGAGAGGAATGGTGGTAGTAAATCACAGTTATTCAAAGTTAAATATATAAAGCCATATTTTTGTTGCATTTAATACAAGTACAAAAATCAATGATTAATAGTATGACATTTAGGGCATTTTCTGTTCTCCATGGCTTGAAAAGGGAGTTGCCCCCTACAATTTGTCATTCTTATTGGCAGGTGAGGTGAAATTGTAAACTGAAAATATTTTACCTTCCAAGTGATCAGGTTAGGGTTTTGGTTCTTTTGTTTGTTGGCTGATGACCAAGGAGAGGACCTTTTGCAAAACCTGTCCTAATTTTGTTTTGTTGTTTTCACCAGTACTTGCAGGGGAACAGAGGAAATCAGGAACTTGGGACTTTTTAAATGGAGGAGGGACGTGCTATTTTCAGACAACTGAAAGACTTCAGACAACTAGATCTGGGATCTTCCGTAGTGCTTTCCCCCCTTCATCTCCTGTTTATAGGATTGGCTTTTGTTTATAGAAGCTTAGATTCCCATCTGCTTTGAGGCTCAAATCTAGTCAAGGAATCATCCTTACAGTGTTTCAGCACTGTTCCCAAGTCTAAACCTCAGTACAAACTAGAGCTTAGGTTTAAAGTTATGTTCCTAAAGACATATTTTTTGTGGGGAGGGGATGGACCCTAAGGGGGTTTTTTGTGGGGAGTGGAGCAGGGGAGGATGGGTTATGACTTGGATCTAATCATAATCAGACTCGACAATGTGGAATGTAGGAAAAAATGGGGAAAAATACCTTTTACTCACTTCTTGATTTAAAGCCTGATGCTGCAAGTCTTATTCAGAAGAAGTAATACCTGATTTTAGAGCGTCCTTTTGAAATTAGTGGGACCAGCTCAGTAATATTTAACCTGAGTAATTGCAGAAGAATGTTCCCATTGGAGAACAGACAAAGATAAATTTACAATTACTTATGTGAAAATGGCATGGTATTTTTGACAGGTTTTCGGAGAAATGAGATGCCTTAATTTGCCTTGTCGACAGTAACAGGGATTTATTGCATCTTTGTTCTGGCATAATACTTGAAAAGAAATGCCAACTATCTGCATACAGAGTGCAGTGATTATATCTTATGCCCTGTTTTAGATGAGTTCAGCCTAGTACGTTGAGTGCATTTGTATATACTTTCAATAGTATTGGGTTACCTTTCTTTATTTCTTAGCTGTTGACACTCTGAGAGTACTTCTGAAGTGTGTTCAGAACGTCTGCTGTGTTTTATTCGGTGTTTTCTTTTCAATAAAACAAATTGGAGAAAACCTTTTTGATTTGTTTACAGCTTTCTACCTTTTCTATAGCTTTCAGTCCACCGTGCTAGTTAAGCACAAATGCAACATCTAGTCCTGTTTTGTTTTTCTTGTTCTGTTATCTTCACATCTTCAGAGTTAATTCAAGTTATTAGTGGAGGGGTGCCCCTATCTTGAGTTTGGCAGGGTTTATAGTTGAAGGTTCACCATAGGAAATACTCTTATCAGTTACACAATCACTCTCTGCTTCAGTTTGAGTGTTATTTTACGGTGTGGCCATTCTGACTGGGCTAACCTTAGAGTAGTAAGGACATAGCCAAAATACAAGGAGATTACATAATTTACCTCACAGTCGCAAAGTAAATTGCTTAGTCAGGACTTAGTCTGGGATCCTGTTGGCTACCAGTACCTTCCTTTCAAATTACAAAGAGATATTGGCCTTAGATTTACATATTCTTGGAGCAATCCTTCAGTATGATAAAACTTGCCTTTTCATTTTCAGGTTAGTATATTGAGGCCCTGCTCTACACATTAGATCTATTGTGCAATAACCTTATGAACTGTGCAATAAATTTAGACTGGCTACATGTGGAAATTAAGTATCATGCCTTAAAAAGGTCCAACCAGCTACAAAGTTATTGCTTGAAAATGTGTAATAACTTTGTAGCTGGTTTCTGTCCAGCTTTAATTTGTACTTGTAGGCAGTCGGCAGTTGCTGCAGTCTCCCAGGTGCTGGGGAGCACAGCGCACCCTGGGACTGGGAGATCACAGCCAGTGTGTTGGGCATGGGGGCATTTCAGGCAGCAGCTGGGAGATTGCAGCTGCTGCAGTCTTCTGGCTATTATGTTCTCCCAGCTATGGGGTGCTCCACAGACCCCTGCTGTTGGGGGACCACACCAGCGGGATGGAACGTATTGGCTTAACTGAGTATGGGTGTGACTTGTGTTTGCTGTCATGAGGGGGCCATCATGATTTGTTTAGGGCCATTCTCTCACTGCAGCTGGAGATGTAGTATGTAGGAGAGTGACAGATTTTCCCTCATAGTGAAACAGAAAGTTAAAAGGAAGAGACTTTTATTTCCCCCCTCCTACCCCCTTGGAAAGAGTGATGTTTTGTGGGTCTTCAGGGCTACCTGTTGCGGTGCAGACAAGGTGTTGAACATTAGGAAGCTATTGACTATCAGCACCAGGGCTATGAACCTCTGAAGCAGAAAGGAAGAGGACAAGGGCTGATCTGTTTATGGCTGCTGCTAGGAGGTTGGACTGCCTCTTTGATGTCCAGAGGGAAATTCCAGAGCAAGAATGCCAGAAACAGGATGCAGAGGAGAGGGAAGAGAGAAGATGGACTTTATCACCTCCGGCTATACCTTGAGAATACAGCAGGACCAGCAGCATGAGATCTGTTTGAGTAGGATCTGAGTACAAGCTGGGTACAGCATCGGTCCTGGCTCTAGTCCAGATCTAGGCTCCTGCCATGGTCTCCTCTCCTCTCCCTCCATTGTGATGATATGTGGGGAGGTAGCCAGCCCGTGGATGGAAATACACGTGATCCAGCTATTTCCTGTGAACAATATTCCTATGCAAGTACAGTTGAAGGGCAGCAGGTGATCTGACAATGTACAGTTCTAGTATGTGTGGCACGGTACTATGTCCTCGGTGCACTTGTCTGCCTTTTGGGCTTGGATACTTAGGGTCCCTTTCTTCTGTTTGTTGGTTTCTTGGTAAGCAAGTACTTTGAGTTCAAAAAAAAAAAAAAAAAAAAAAAAAAA